GGAATGTTCAGTGAGGATTTCAGCATCGTCAGGATGGGCAACAATCCCAGCAGGGCTGGCATGGGAGCTGGCACCTCGCAGGCTTCAGGTGTCGACAGGTCATTATCAACACCAGGAACTCAACAGGAAAGGGAGAGTAGAGAGAACAAGATGGGTCAGCTTAGGAGTTCTCTTTAGGTCTCTTACAGGGCTGCACAGATACTGGGTAAGATTTTTATAGGAGCTTGAAAGCTCTGTGGCTGGGAGTCTGAAGGCTGTATGACAGCACAATGCAAAAACATCAGTGGAATTTAGAATGCTAGCATCAGTGTGATTCCAGCTAAACCCAGAGACTGGTTACACCTGGACCACAGTATGATGAAAAACAGAGTGAAACTGTAAAGGAAGACACTAACAGACTTTGTGCTCGAGGGCCATTGCAGAATAGACCAACCTCTAAAATTCTCAAATTCTCTATGAACCACCAGAGCTCCCCTGCTAGCTATTGTGTTCACTGTTTTTCATTGCTATCAGGTCTAACCAATGCATAGCCAACCCTTCAGTAAGCTTTTAGAGGGTGAGTAATGATGTCAGTCTATAGACAAAGGTGTGCTTGATCCAAGCCATGGTCTTCACAATTACTTGTTATACATCAGGGAGCTGGACAATTACTAAAGATGATAAAAGAAGAACCGATGCCTTTAGGCTGTGATGCTGGAGAAGTGTATTGAACCTACCATGGACTGCCAAGAGAACAAACATGCCTGTCCTAGAGAGAGTGAAACCAAGTTACTCCTTCGAAGCAAGGATTTTGAAGCTCTGTCTCACATACTTTGGACATGTTGCCAGGAGGGACCAGTCTTTGGAGAAGAGCATAATGCTTGGAAAGGTGGAGAGGCAGTGCAAAAGAGGAGGACCCTAAATGAGATGGATTGACTCAGTAACTGGGCTAATGGCAGTAGATGTGTTGGAGACAATGAAATCGGCTCAAGATAGGACAGGGTTCTGAGCTATTATGCATAGGGTTGCTGTAAGGCACAGATGACTCGATGGCACACAACAACAATTGCCTAAGAGGGGATTGCCCATTTTTCTCCTGAAGAACTGCTAGTATATTTAAACTACATGCTTTTTTGGATTGGCAGCGTAATTCCTTCCCACAAGATCACTACAGCAAGCTATTGGAGAGATGGGGGGTGGGAAAAGAGGAATCATCTTATCCCAGCAACAATAGAAAAGTTTAGTAAACAACAAGGAATGAATGCTGATGAGGGTGTGGAGAAACTGCAATGCTCATATACTGAAGGTGGAATGTTAAAATGTTGCAATCACTACGAATAGCAGCTTGGCACTTTCTTAGAAAATTGAGAACAGAAATACTACTGGATACAACAACCCCACTACTGGCCTATATCACAAAGAAAGAAAAGCTGAGATGTAACCTCAAACACACAACACCCTTGTCTGTTGCACCACTGGGATATGAAAACTTTTGCAGACTGTATTAAGCAAAACCCTTAGATTATGCTAACTCTGCTTATTTCACAGTTTAATTATGCCTTCTTAGTGTCAACTAAGCATGCTCTTGTTGTGTATCCTCAAGTCGGAACTGACCCATAGCTGACTCCCCAGTGGGTTATCAGAGGCAGTTAATCCCATGGGAAGAGACTGCCCATCTTACTCCTACCAAGCAGTTAGTGACCTTGAGCAACATTTAGCATAATTCCAGTGATTAAATGAAGTATACTCACTGCTTAAGTATATTTTACTACTAATTAAAAAAAAAAAGCTTAAAATAGGCCTACTTATTTCATAGTTTAATTATGTCTTCTTAGTGTCAATAAAGCATAGATCTGCTTATTTCATGTGTAGAAGAATGACCAATATCCTCCCATGAGATTAACTGCCTCTGGAAACCCACTGGAGGGTCAGCTATGTGTTGGTTCTGACTCAATGGTACACAACAACAAAAGAGACACAAAAGACCTTTTCAAAGAAAAATACAAAACACTTCTGCAAGAAATAAGATGACTTAAATAAATGAACTTGTTTATGGATCGCAGGACTCAATACAGTGAAAATGACAATTCTACCAAAAAAAAAAATAGCAATCCATATATTGAATGCAATTCCAATACGAATACTAAACTAATTTTTTAAAGAGATAGAAAAGGCAATTAGAAAATTTATTTGGAGAGGAAAAATACTTTGAATAAGCAAAGCACTTCTGAAAAACAAGAATGTTTTGGAGGCATAGCACTCCCTGATCTCAAAACCTACCATTCAACTGTAATAACCAAAACAGCATGGTACTGGTACAATGACAAGCACATCAACCAATGGAACAGAATTAAACCCCCAGCAATTAACCTATCTACGGTCAACTGATATTCAACAAGGTTGGGGGGAACCCCTGTCAAATGGGAAAATGTCAACCTCCTCAACAAATGGTGCTGGTAAATCTGAAACAGGAGCACACTTCTCATCATACACAAAAATTCAACTCAAGATGGATCAGAGACCAGGGATAAAACCAAAATCTATAAAAATCCTAAGAGACAAAGTGGAATAACCTTTGAAGACTTATTTCATGGTTTAAAAAGGCTGATAAAAACAGCCAGAAATACACAACCAGGAGAGGATAATATTGATCAATTGGACCTTCTAAAGATAAAATCCCTTTGTGCATCAAAAATTTTTTCCAACAGGGTGAAAGGAAAATCTACTGACTGGGAAAAACACTTGACAATACCATCTCAGACAAGGGTGTCATAACAAAAGTTTACACAATACTACAGGGTTTTCTCAAGAACAAGACTGATAACCCAATTACAAAATGGGCTAGAGACACAGAAAGATTTTTCACAGAGGAAGACCTTCAGATGCCCAAGAGACATATACATAAATAAATGTTCACAATCACTGGCAATAAGAGAGATGCAAATCAAAACCACAATGAGGTACCATCTCACCCAAGCAGCAGTGGCAAAGTTTAACAGGACATCAAGAAAATAAATGTTAGAGAGGATGCAGAGAGATAGGAACTATTCTTAGACACTGTTGGTAGAATTGTAAAATGGACAGCCACTCTGGAAGGTAGACAGTTTGAGGTTTCCTCAAAAGCTGAACATAGAAAGTCCATATGATCCAGATATCCCACTGCTCGGAATACACCCTGAGAAATTAGAAATGAGACACAAACGGAGACTTGTACATCAATGTTTTTAGTAGTGTTATTTACCATCGCAAGAACATGGCAACAGCCCAAATGTCCAACCACAGTCAAATTAATTGAGAAACTGGTACATTCACACAATGGAATACTATGCATCACTCAGGAACAATTTCAAAAATTACCACATAACTTGGGAAGGACTGGAGAGCATTATGCTGAGTGAAATAACTCAGTCTCATAAGGACAAATACTACACAAGACTAATATTGTAGAACTAGAAAGCAGTAAAATGTGTATAGAATCCAAGGTGGAGAGGGTAGGAGCAGAGGGATGGATGAAGAGGGGTAGGGAGAAATCATAAGTTTGTACAATTTGGTGGGTAGAGGGAGGAGTGGGTAAAGAAACTGGGAAAGATTTGGCTAGAGTCTGAAAAGATAGAGTAATGGTGGACATAGTTCATTGATGATTAATTTTATAAAGCATAATTATGGTAATGATTATATGAAACACAATGTAAATAAAGGATAGTGTAAAACAATGTATATGAACTTTGTAAGCAAACCAATATAAATTTTTTTTTAAAAAATATTCCACTAAGGAAAAAATGCTATAAAATAAAACAGTTCATCAGAAGAAAACTTAGAAAAATATTATTAGCCAATCCTTTGATACAACGCTAGAAAATGAGATGCAGTTGAGTTTGTGATGTTCTGAATCATGTTCACAACCTTGTTCACTAAATACTCTGCAGTGGTTAAAGATGTGTGCATTGGAGGCAGACAAACCTAGGTATGAAGCCCAGGTCTATGCTTTTACTACTGTACAAGTTTCAGAAACAGTTGAAATGATGGAGTCAAATACACCAACAATCACAAAGATGGTGTAAGCCCATCAACAGTTAGTTTTGTTATAAGATCAGATCACCAACTCAGCTTGACCACAGCTAGCAACAATCACTCTCAAAGTCTAAATTGTTCATATGTAATTGGGGATGAAAACAGTATCTTTACTGCATTACAGGGATACACTTTAGATTAAATTAAATAATTCCATGGAACAAAGCAGTTAATACAGGACAAAAGTGTAAGTGTAAGCAGTATTTTTTTAATACCATGTACTCATCTCTAGGTTTAATAATTAATCTGAAATTATTTTTCAGATCTCCATTCAAAAAAATAGATTCATATGTCTTTAATTCTCAAGATGTGTCTTTTTCCTTTGTAAATAAGCATATGCAAAAAGTTCCTCAAAATAGTGTCTATTAATCTCATACATATGGCCTAGGATTGAAAGGACTGAAATGTTTATCTAAATATCCTTCACCAGAAACTCCAAACACTACCCTCATCTTCACTTTTTTATTCAAAACTACTTATATCAGAAATGAAGGCACAAGAGCTTATATATGAAGAACTTGGTATCTCTGTTACTTAGCAAAGCTATCTCAGTTCTCTCTCACCCTCCAAGTAACATGAAATTTAAGAAAGTAGAGCAAATAAAAATGGCTGGCCTGCTTTTTATGGCAGAAAAGGGAAGGATTAGCTAATCTGAAAGTTTATTGCCATCACTCAGACGATTTCCTGGATTGAAAGTGATTGAAGAACACTTTAAAAAGTAGACTATAAAAATGGACTATGTACCTATTTTTAAAACCATCTAGAATTAATTTGGCCTAAATAAAAGGCCATTTTTTTGATAGTTTAAAGAAAGGGCAGATAATACTCTTTCTGTAAAAACTCAAAGCTTCATTTTGTACCTTACAAAACATAATAGCCATATATTTTTGTAATACTGAAACCCTCCATATAATGCTTGCTATTCCTGCGTTAGGATCCGGGGATCTTACCAATTCCTGAGCGTCCTGTTGGAGTGGCAGAAATGCTGCTTCCAGAATAGCAAACTGGTCAGCGCTAAGCTTCTGCCACAGGCTGATGAGCAGAATCACCAAATGGGTGGCACTTGTCAGCCTGGTGAACGACTGGAACAAATGGCCTTGGTTTTCCTCTATGGCGTCTGCTAGGGCCATTACCTGTAGAAATCACAAACCTCAGTTAGGGATAATTGCACAGTTCTTGAGCTCTTAGCAAATCACAGGTGGTATACTCTGATTTCTTTTTCAAAAATTTGATGAACTTTTGTGTTCCACAAATACAAGCCATGTTGGGTAGTAAAAGAGTTAGCATTTATCTGCTTACTTCCCACTTAAACACACACATAAATATATCCAAACACCTCACTCAAAGTTAATTCCAAAGCCACATGGCTAGAAGATGAAAATATTGTTGAATTACCTTTAAATAAGGACGTTGTTCAGTGTCTGCTCCACCAGTGACCAGCTTTCTAATATATTTGGTAGTATCAGTAACCTCTAGCAAAGCTTTTACATCCTATAGCACAACAACTTCAATCACCCCTCCATGTATCATGTCAGCACCCAGCAGATTAGGGGTAACAATTTGTTTCCTTGATAAGACTGAAGTTGTCAATAATTTACTTTTACCTGGATCCACAATCAACACTCATGGTAGCAGCGGTCAAGAAATCAAAGGTTGCATTGCATTGGGAAATCTGTTATCAAGGATCTCTCCAAGGTGCTAAAGAGCAAGGAAAGATGTACCTTATCCAAGCCATAGTATTTTCACTTGCTTCCTCTGTATCTGAAAGTTGGACAATGAATAAGGATGACAAATGAAGTATTGATGCCTTAAATTGTGGTGCTGGAGAAGACTACTTAATATCTATGGACTACCAAAGAACAATCTTTCTTAGAGGAAGTGCAACCAAAAGTGTAAGTAAGGAGGCAAGGATTGCCCAACATACTTAGGACATGTTTTCATGTGGAGCCGGTCCTTTTAAAAAAAGGTTTCATGGTTAGAGAAGATCAAGGGAGTTAACTGTAACAGTGGACTTGACCATATCAGAGATGGACACTTTTGTGCAGGATCAGACAAGGTTCCAATCTGTTCATAGGGTCACTATAAGTCATATTCAAATGGATGGTACATAACAACACCATGCAACAGAGTTCTGTCAATTTAAAAAAACCTCCTTAAAATCACTACATTTGCCTTAGAGTTTAAAATAATAACTTTACCCTCTCCAGAAAGAAATTATCTTTCTTAAAGATTTGCACACTCAGTATTTCTCTATTATATCCAAAAGATAGATAATGTTCAAATATATGACAAATCAAGTAATTGCATGATTATGTTTTTAACACAAATGTCAAGTATTAGTACACAGGGACTTGAAAGAAAAGAAAAAAATCACCAACTCAGGGTATGATAGTTTTACAACGCCAAATCCACTTAGGATAAAATTGGCAGAGGTGAGATTTGGCTTTCTTTTTTTAATGTTTAATATGCCTGTGGAAAAAGAACTAAATGCAACAATTGGAAAGAATATCCAAGACAGACCATTGGTATTTTATTTTAATGTCTTGGTGAAGGTGGTGCTCATTAAAAGTAATGAACGAATGGCTGCAGAGGCTCAGGGCGTCTGACAGTCCCCAGAACAGAAACAGCCAGGGAAACATGAGCCCCTTCCGACAAGTTCTCACCAGCTTGAGGGCCTGGAGCTCAGATGAGCTTCAGCAGTCTACAGCAGATGTCCATTTGGTGGTTTCATGGATAGTGATACTGGCCCAAAGCACTTGTTAAAAAGTCATCAATCAAATGAGGGTAGTTTGACTGCAGTGTGGTGCTTCAAATTCCATGTGGGAAGAAAGTTAGCAGGGGACACACCTAAGAATGGAAGATACTGGAAAAGGGATGTAGGTCAGGGAAAAGAAATAGTAACTGAATCTTCTCCTATGCAAAATGCTAGGGATTTGCCACTTAGCTGAGGTCTTGTAAGAGCCGTCAAAGACAATCTCAGTTCACATCCAGATCTCCACAGGGCCATGGATTGAGGATTACAATGAAATGGGTCATGTTTGCCTAGTAATAAGTTACTTTTCATTTGAGTTCAAGAGAAGTACATACTCTCTTATAGCTCCTAAAGATCTTATAATTTGTTGGAAAGAAA